GAGTGCTACTGGGGGTTGTACCTTCTCCTTTGAAAGTACCCACCTTTTGGCCTGTTCGCACCACAGGAACTGGGAACAATTTTAGCTCTAGGAATGTCTTTTGGGGAAACTAAATTAGCTCCTACTTAAGAGTAAGGTCTAACTCAGCACAATAGGAACTACCAGTGATGTAAGTGTACGGTGATTGGCTGAATACACGAGAAACACCAGCAACCGCCATTCAAAAACAAAAAAGTGTACACACACAGATTATAGATTATAGACAGCCTATAAATGTACTCCATATACATGGAAAACAGTGATAGATGGACCTCTCAACCTTTACACTAAGGAGAAAACCCAACCCAACTTTGAGGGGACCAAGCGAAACATGATTATGTATTTCTGCTCAGCTAGCGACATTGGACATCAACCACATGGCAAACACTAATACTTTTTCATAGACTGTCTACTTTCTTTGTAGAATAGCTCTATGTAATACCAAATTAGACAGTACTGTTAAACAGATCGTAAACTAATGAAGACGGAGACTGGGAGCGCTGTGTGCTCAGGCTCTGGCACTCTCAGCACCATCAAAATAAATGTCCGTTATTTTGAACATACACATTTTGAACAAATGAAAATTAGAAGGTGTGTTAAAAAGATTTTTTTGATGGCCCGGCGGACATGAAAATAAACGTCCGCCGCGCCATCAAAAAAATATTTTTAACATACCTTCTAATGTTCATTCGTGTTTATTAACTATTGACTAGTAGTAAAGAGGAAGAGATTATCATCAGTTCACGTTCCGATTAAAATGATCTGTCACGTCACATTTAAGAGCATCAAAACGGTGTTTGTTGTTTGAATTTCGTAATACAATTTGAAAATTTGAAAGCTGAGACTTTGTGTCATATCATAGTAACCTGCTCTGTCTTGTCTGTTGGTGCCAGAGTCCCCTTTGCTTCACGGTATTTTTCTGTGTGAGAAAATGGTTGTGTGGCGTGAGAGCGTGAGAAAAATGTCAATTGTGTGAGTCTCATTCTGAATGCGTGAGAGTTGGCAGCCCTGCAAGGCTAAATGAGGAAGGAACCAAACAAGACCCAGGTTGTACATAATTAATTAAATGATGAATAACCATTGAAACCAATGCAACATCTAAATTCGAATAATCCATCCTAAATAGTATTCAAAATTAGAATTAGTCCCAAATCATGGTATGTTGACATGAGTATTCCAAAGTTACCCGAATGATCTTCTTTTTCCATTTAGGATCCGAAGTGCAATTACTCCCTGAACAAACTTGGCAAATTCCAATTGGAAGTGAGGATCCATATGCCCAACTCACTCTGAAGGGCAGAGCCCTTGCAGTGGGGACTTTGGACAGAGCAGAGCACTTGTGTGTAATAATGAAGCCATTTGGAACGCACTTGGCGAAGGGAGCAATGAAAAACCACGTAATTTCCTCATTAGCTTCACATGGAATGTTACTACGACAAAGCTATCCAGCGACAACAGGAATGTCTTTTTTATTGCTGTTTATGGCCTGATTTCACAGACAGGGCTAGGATTAAGCCAGGATTAGGCTTTAGTTAAATTAAGACATTTATGTAGCTTTTATACACGTGCCTTGGAAAAAAAAATTACTGGTGTGACTTGAGACAAAACAATGGCACTGACTTATTTAAAGATATGTCAGTGCAAGTTGTTTTCAGTTAAAACAGCTCAAACATGCATTTTAGTCTGGGACTAGACTTAAAGGGTTAGTTCACCCCAAAATGAAAATTCTGTTAGTAATTACTCACCCTCATGTTGTTCCAACCCCGTAAGACTTTCGTCCATCTTCGGAACACAAATTAAGATATATTTGATTAAATCTGAGAGCTGGATCACTCTTCCATAGGCTTCTTAAGGGATCGAAACTTGCCGGCCCAGAAAGGTTAAAGACATCGTTAAAATAGTCCAATTGACTACAGTGGCTCAATCTTAAGTTTATCAAGCGACGAGAATACTTTTTGTGCGCAAAAAAACAAACAAAAATACCGACTTTATTCAACTATTCATTTCCTTCTCTGTGGGCCGCGAGATTTCACGTAGTGAAACTGCGCAACGCTTCTAGGTTGTACGTCACACGCATCACACACATGACCAGCGTCGGCCAATAGTGAGTCTGCGGGTGACGTACAACCTAGAAGCGTTCGCGCACAACGAAAATATGGCAAGTGTTAAGAAAAGTGGACACAGAAAATAGACGATTCAAATCTGAATGGACTGAACAATTTTGTTTTATTTTGCCTGACCACCACAACGCAAAGCCAACGTGTTTGTTATGCACGCAGACCGTGGCTGTCTGTAAGTCTGTAACGCCATTTTAACACATTGCACAGCAATTTTAACAGCAATTTTCCAGAACATTCTGAAAGTCGCAAACAGAAGGTAACACAATTGGTCAGATTGTCAGATTTTTTGATGCGAAGGTTTTCCGCGAAGAGCTGCTTTGTTTGTTGCCAATACAGGGACGCGCAACCAGAGAAATAATTTTTAACGAACTGATGCAATTCTTTGAAACGAATGGATTAGATTTAAGCAAAGTTGTGCCAGTTGTCACTGACGGGGCTCCGTCAATGGTTGGACATCACAGAGGCCTGATAAGCAGGCTAGCTGCTGTCAATTCGTGCATTTTTTGTGCGATATCATGTCTCACCTAAATCAGCTTAATTTGCAATTGCAAGGCAAGAACCACACTATTGCTGACATGTGCGAAGCGGTTGAAGCTTTTCGTTTAAAGCTGACCCTTTTTGAGCGGGATCTTCAAGAAAGAAAGCTGCACTTTCCGTATTTACAACAGCATTGCGAGAAACACCAGGTGCCAGAGGACCCGTTAATGTGCGACTTCGTGATGAGACTGGCAGAGAATTTCAAAGAGCGATTTCAGAGCTTTAACCTGTCAAGTGAACTCCTTCTCTTCCTAAGACAGCCATTTTCAGTCCCAGCAGATGGACAATGGACTGCTGAGGCCAAACGCCTGGTTTCATCCTTAGATAAAGCATCTTTGCAGCTGGAGATTTTGGAAATGTCAAAGTCTGATTTGATCAGAGAGCAACACAAGGAGGCTAGTGTGAGCGACTTTTGGACAAAAGTGGTTTCTCAAGCTAAATTCAAGAACAGCATAATTATAGCAATGTTCCTTCTTTCAATGTTCCCATCCACTTACATCTGTGAGTCATCGTTTTCTATAATGACCATCATCAAGAACCAGGATAGAAACAGACTGTCCAGTGTGCATATTGATCAGTGTCTCAGAATTGCTACAACAGAATATAGCCCTAACATCAGAGGTATTGCTTCAGCCTCTCGCTGTCACTTCTCTCATTGAATGGTCAGTACATGCCAGTTAATACTTTTAGTTTGATCCAAGTAAGAACAATAAAATATTAAAGCTGATAGGTCTAATAATTTAAACTGCTATTATGGAAATTGATGAGAAGAGATCCAGTGTGGTGATGAGCAGGATCAGTCGACTCCCATGCAGACATGGAGATCCAGGGTTGTTGTTTGTTAATTTGTTTTTAATATCCACCATGCAAAGTTCTTAAGTTTTCTGTATCTGAATACAAAAATGCTCAAAATTGCTTGAATAAAACAGACTCATGTGAAAAAGAAAATAATACATAAAAATAAATAAAATCAGAATAATTATATTGTGATTTGTGACTCTTTTAACAAAACAACAACAACAACAAAAATAGCAGAGCAAACATTGAGGTCATAACATTGTGGTTGGTGGCCCTTGGGTCTGTATTGTCGGCAGAATTTGGCCCTTGGTAAAAATTAATTGAGGAACCCTGCCGTAGGGTGTCCCATTTGAATTTTAGGTTTCAGAAAGGTGCTCACAAACACCCCCTTTGCAGTCGATATGCGCCCTCGATGCACACTTTTGCCGAGCCTGCTCGGAAGCGAGCTCCCGACAGTCAAAGTGGCATTACGTTACGAAAGTGCGGACTCGTAGGAAGACCGTGAGTGTTTAGGGTGTCATTTGGGACAGGGCCTTACTTATGAATGGGAGAACCTGCAATTTGTCCCGCCTTCCAAGTAAAAGAGCCAATGGCGTATTGGCAGTCATTGCGTCACTGCAGCTGCCATTAGAAGCTCCTGTTCCCATAGAAACCTGAGACTCGAGCTTACATGCGCATTGGCTCGTCTGAAAAATAAGTATTTTTAACTCTATTTGAGCATAAGAAACAACATCTATGGGACAGTTCATGGCAGATTTTGTTGCTGATTTGAAATGTTATTTAATTGTGAGTTCGGCAAGCATTTTTGGAGATTTCAGGATTCCCCCATTTAAATAGATCTTGGATGCCTAAAATAGCTGTCTTGTTGCAAATATGGCCACTGAGTGAGCACACTTTCCTTGAAAAGGACTTTGAAAAGACCCACACCTGGCAGATCAACATGCTTCTATTCTCTCAGAAACGGTAGGAAATTAAATTAAATTGAATGTGGAATTTTAACTGTGACAATATGATATGATTGACTGGGCAGTGTAAACGGTGACAGGATGCACTTAACTAAGCGACAGAGCTGTCCCTTAAAGACGAATTTATTGCGAAGTAGTTTGTCCCAAAGCTTGCCTACTATTCTGTTACACACTCAAAAATATGTACTTTTTCTTCACAAAAACAGTACATACTTTTAGGGCATAGTATAAGTAGGCGAATTGGGACACAGCGCAACTAGCAATGGGAACAAAGGCAACAGGAGCTAAACAAAGGAAGGAACATAAGAGTGCACACATACCTATTTTTTTTGTAATTCCCATTATTCATCATAGTGATTGATTTGCATTAGATTATCTTTACTCTAATACTGTAGAAGTATTATTTGTAATTCATTAGTGTAAACAAATGACTATGATACATTATATTTTTACTTAAATCAGGAGATATGAAAGACAGTACAACCAATAATAATATGATGTATATACTTTACAATTTAAATAATTTATCATTATTTCTTTTGAATTTCGGTAATGAGAATTGAACATATCAAAGATGCAGAATATGAAAATCCCATCAAGTTTAAAAAAACTTCTTTTAGGTTGAAATGTGCATATGATTTAGGGCTAATATTGTGTCATCCAAAAGAAGGCTGAAAATCTCTTCAGTCAGATGCATTTTCACAGTGTACTGGTCATCTCTGTAGTCTAGCCAAGTTCTCTCCTCATTATGAAGTTCTTGAATCTAGAAGTAGATAATAAAAAAAAGGCATTTTCAGTTGTAATTCAAATCAACACTAATTTCATAAGCAAGCATATTACTATAGGAGTGCCTTTACACACACCAGTATAAAGTCCACTCTGTCTCTCTTGGCATACCAGTATTTGCACAGTTTTTGGAGCATCTCTGTCATCTGTTGTTCATTTCGCTCTAAATTCAGAATTTTCTGTATCTCCTTTCTCACTGCAGCCTGTAAATAACACAATTAACACAATGCAAATGTTCAAAAATACTGTGCTTAAAAGCAGAGATATATATATATACATAGATTCCTCATTAACAGCTGTTTCTATGGACTGCTATACGTAAGTCGTCCGCCATATTGGAATGGTCAAAGCCGGTCCGTGAACACTCGAGAGGCTGTGAAATGTTTTGGCATCTTGGAAAACTCATTGATTTTTACTGTAAGTGACAACAGCATCTGAAGTGTTGACCGTTCCAAGATGGCGGACGCGTCAACGTGTCTGGAGTGGTCGAATGTGGCATCGATGTATACATATCTATGCTTAGAAGTACCTTCTAAATAACTCCTCTGGAATATTATTGAGTAGTTCATACAGCTGATTGCAAATCCTTTTACCTTTAAAAATGTGACTGAAATTTTACTTGATTGAAGAGTTGATATTGCAGATTGATCATCTATATTCTGGGCAGGTTTTGTCCTTAACAGATCACCCAAAATCTTATGCAGTACATCAGATGTCAACTGAAAGATCACCTACAGTGTAAAATGAATAAAGTTTAGATGAGAGTTGCTTCTCTCATTCATTTAGCATTTGTATAGTTGTTTGTTATACATATATAGACTAACCTTTCGATAATGTTTGCGACTGTCATTTAATAGATAGCTTGGTGTTTCACAAAGGTCAAGAGCGTCTTCATTTGCGTGGCTGCACAGAATTTCCACTGCAGCATCTACTAATCTGTACACGATACTGTCTTCATGGGGCGACACCTTTATCTTTGATGGCGTGTTGGGTTGGGCCTGATGCCACTGCTCCAAGACACATGGCATAAAATAACCATCCTCACCTTTTCTGATGTCCTGAATATCAAAGAGTGAGAAGTTCAGAAATAGTAGGATTTTTTTTTTTCATCCAAATTTCATGCATATACAGATATTTTATCCTTTGTTAAAACATTTCAAGGCTGTTTTGGCAACTTACAGCATCTGTAGATTGACTGTCACGCAATGATTTAATTATTTGTCTCTTTCTGGTATCCTGAGCATCTTTATCCAGCTTTTCTGTCAGTTTAGCATCCACATGATGCCTGTTTTGCGCATTATGTTGGAGCTCAAAGTCAGGCTGCAAAATACAGGTGTTCAGTGATAGATACATGTTTTCTGAAGACTCTAAAGTTGCACTAAGCTTTGTGTGAGCAACAGACATTTCAAGTGTAGTTTATCATCATTCTACCCATACAGTGTATAGTAAACTGGAATAGTTGAATGGAACAAAAAAAAATTAGACTGTAAACATGTTAACAAAAATAGACTGGAATTACTCAACAACAACAACAACAACAACAACAACAACAAAAAAAGACAAAAAAAGTCCCAAAAATAAGAGACAATAGGGCTTCATATACTTTAGGGCCAGTTCTGTCAGGACCACTATCGTCAAATACGATTGGCAATTGCATACATTTAAAATTGGCAGTATGGTTCTGGCAAGAACTCCTTGCGCATCCATGCAACCTAGCATGGATAAGAGCAGGGGGAGCAGCAATAACCCCCCTTAGGGTAAACAGAACAGAACCAACATGAATGTATTGCAGATATCATTAATTCAAGATTTTAAAGTACAACATCATTCGAGAATTTATTCTGATTCAAGGGGAATCAGAATGCCATACTGACTGACGAGAGGAGGAGCTGGGGATGAAGGAGGGTAATTAGCACCTGAGAAACGCGATAGCTGCTGATAATACTGAAGGAGCTTACATATGTATACAGTGACTGATAGGCATCGTATTCCTATAGATAGATGTGGATCAGCTGAGTGTCAGCTGATGCGAGCTTGACTGACCTGCTAGCCTGGGAAAACCCAGACCACTTCCGGCAAATTTGGTAAAAAACAAAGGTCTGGCAAAAAGCTCATTGAAGTCCATTTCCAATCCGTCGAAATCGCGGCACCAATCAGAAACGTTGGGGCGGGCTTTACACGATGACGACAGCACAGCGACGGTAAAGCAGATTTTTTACATTTACAAAGATGGATGCCGCTGTGGAACTATGTGTGACGGTTATAGTTGAACACCGTCATTAGAACTCTATAACCGCCAAAACCATGTTATTAAAATATTTTTTTTCACAAACATTTATCATAGAGAATGTTTAAATACTAATATCAGCTTACGAGGGAAACGGAGGCGGAGTTAGTGGTGCGATCGGAGGCTGCTACTGTTTCGGGAGAGGTCTGTGCCCCTTTACCGATCAGAGCGCGCGCTGACACGCGCTGTAAAGCCTTGTTTATACTCGACGCGTCCGCACGAGCGCGAAGGTGCGCGGGGCAAAAATCACGCGCTCGGTCCGCAAGACCGGCAAGACCCCATTTCGCTTGCCTGTGTGCACGGGTATTTTGTAACAGCGAGCGCGGCGCCACATCCGAGGATGAACGACTTCAAGCCGAATCGAATCTGCCCGAGCCGTTCGTCTCACACCACCGGCACCCAGTTTGCGCGTCTAAATTGCAAAGTTTTTTTTGTTAAGGTTTTGTTTACTGTGTGTGATTTATTTAATGGAAAGCACATTCACTTCCAGTTGTCTTGCTGTTAATTTTAAATACTCGTAGAGCAAGTAGCTGATCAGTGTCTGCTCATTTATTCAAACTAAGTTGTTCTATAACAGGCGAACGTCGCTCTGCATACGTCATCTTCATTGCTCTGATTGGTTTTAGGTCTATCCAATTGCTCCAAGAGGCATTTGAGCTACGTCCGTTGGTGACGCCCCTTTGGAAATGATTTGTCTATGAAGCTTTGCCAGACCCTAACTCAGTTACAACTGAGAATGGTCTGGTTTTAACCAGGCTAATGACCTGCCAGAACTGACACTACGCTTAATATTTACTAAACAGGGCAAATTAGCATGAGAGCGCATTTCCAAAAAAAGCGCAGATGGGAGTGGAAAGTTCTGCTCCTGATCTACTGACGACGCGCAAATTAAAGAACAGACGCTGCCAGATCATTTTCATAATGACCAACGCAATCTACCAGTTAGCGTCTGGTTTAAGACATGCTTTTTTGGGCGGTAAATAATGGCGCAAACACCAGTAAATTGACGAGCGCAAACCTTAGTAATTCACCTTGCATGATTCATTTAAATACTCTCCTCCCATAAATGTTGCATCTGAAAGGGAAACTCCTACAAATGCATATGCAATAAGGTCAGCCGCAAAAATAATTATATGCATGCCTTTTCAGCGCTAATTTTTTACTGTGTGTCTTTAGTAAATCCCGACAGTAGTTTTTTAACGCCAAAAGAGGGTTTGCACTGGTGCAAGCTGTCAGTAAATCTGGCCCATAGTGCACTATGCTCAAGAAAAGTTTCTTATTATTATCAATGTTGAAAAGAGTTGTTCTTAATATTTTTTTGTGGAAACAGTGATAAATTTCTTTTTATCGAAAATTCAAAATAACAGCATTTATTTGAAATATAAATTGTAATTATAAATGTCTTTACTGTCACTTGGGATCAATTAAATCCACCCTTTCTGAATTAAAAGTATGAACTTAAAAAAAAAATCTTACTGACCACAAATTTTTGAACAATAGTGTACATGCTTTTTACTGTATATAAAAGAGAAGCACAAACTATCATCTAAACATCTTCTCTTGTGTTCCACAGAAGAAAGAAAGGTAACACTTTATTTTAATGTGTCCTTTGTTACACATTACATGTATTTACTGTAGTAATAACTTTAAATTAGCCATAATTACATGCAACTAACCCTAAACCAACCCCTTATCCCATCCTAATCATACAGTAAATACATGGACTTAATTAATATTACTCAGTACTTAAATGTATAATTACACTGTAAAAGGGACACATTAAAATAAAGTGTAACCGAGAGAAATTCAAATGGGTTTGGGATGACATGAGGGTGAGTAAATTTTTATTTTTGAGTAAACTGTCCCTTTAAATTCTTGGTGTTACTTACTCTTGGTGAGGGCATTTCAGAGGGATGCGAAAGATTTTTCGCGCCATCAGACGTGTCTTCCTGAGATTCTTTTAGTTGTGTGCATGTGGTGATTGTAAGTATGGTTTCATCTCTAGGAGGACACTGACTATAAGTATGTCCTCTTTGTCTATCTTCCCATGATGCGGCTATCTGTTGTTTATCTCTCTTTGCGCTTAGCGGTTCCTCATCTGAGAAGGGATCTTCATCCATCCCAGTCTCTACATCACTACTATGTTCTCTGTGTATATGGGCAATGTCCTCAGCTCTGACCAGGACACCGTGACTTTTGTCACAGCTAAAGTACTTCACACCTCTAAAAGTTCCATTGTGGTTTCCATTCGGGTTGTCCAAAGCCACACCAGCCCAAAAACCATTCGCAAATGCTGTGAGGCCTTTATATTTCAGCACACCTGGTCTGGAGTTACATACAATAACTCTGTCTCCAATCTGGAAGTAGGACAATGGATCTGAGATTTCATTTCTCACATCTTCAGGAAGTGAGCTATTGCATTCCGAACAGTCATTTTCCTCAGCATCCTCACATAGAGCTCCATTACTATCATCGTTTACCTCGTTTTCCCTCAGACTGTTAGAGCCTAGACTTAGAGACTCTCTTCTTTTCAGAGAAAGGTCCACAGGGAGAGGAGGGAAGTTTTCGCTGTTAATGGAGAGATCTTCAACAGAATCAGGAGGAGCTGGAAGTTCCTCCTCACTGGTCCATGTAATAATCTCAAAGGCAGGAAGGGGAGGAGGACAACCATAGCTGTCAAGATCTGATGTGGCTCCTCTAGCAGACGAAAGAAGTTCTGCACTTCCGTAAGACAAAACCTCATCTACAGGAGAGATAATTTCTGACAAGGTAGACTCTACAGTCATTTGTCTTTCGTAATGTGGCAGTGTACAGCGTCCTTCCTGTTTATTGTTCACATAAAGCTGAGAATCTTCTGGTACCATAGTGTACTTTTCTGAAAAAAACAAAGAGCAACTACTTGCTTGGGCTGCCTCAGTCTTCTCCTCATCGAGACAGTCCCTCTCTTCCTCAGACCAAGCGAGTGCTTCACTATGAAATGAAATTGCCTCTGACTTTTCATCTATCTCAGACAGACTGACATCACAAGATGGACTATCCTCAGCCTTTCTTATTTCCGCACTTGCTGCTTCCAGAATCAAGTTTTCAATAAGTGGATTGTCTGTGACAGTCTCATTTGTACACGCCTGTGTTTTTTGTTCAGGAAGCTCATGGTCTGCATTGGTTTTATTAGTTTTGGAGTATGAAAGAGATGACTTCCTTTGGCCCCCTGCATCCTGGTTGCATATAGTGTCATTATTGTTAAACACCAGCACACTGTGCAGTCTCTGATTGTTCTGTACATTTAGTGCTGTGGTATCTGGTGTTGCACTGCCACGGACCATGCTTGTCATCTTTATGTCCTCTTGCTCACTGGGCTTAAGATGGCTCTTCTCCAATTGGAAATAATCTTTTTTGTCTAGACGGGGCTCACGGTTGAGTGTGAAATGCTGAATTTTCAATACTGGCTTCATTGGCACTGCAGCTGGATGTTGTGGTCTTTCTCTCTTGGGTGTGCAGGTGTCCTCATAAAACCCTTGTGCCTTCTTCTGCGTGTCTTGTTCTGAAAGCAACTATAAATGGTTATAATTCAAATGATTTTCCATAAATTTATCTAATGAATATTAGGTGTTTTTTTTTTTTCAAATCTTTAAATAAGTCTGGAGATATTGATCTCAACAATGGCAACACATGCTAGTTCTGCAAAATGTAAACCTTCAATCAACTATAAATACCCCGCTAAAAACGTTTCACATAGTCCTAGCAATTAAATTCGTTCTGAGTTGAGCCCAGCCGCAAAGCAGGCTGGATTACCAGCAGTGCCATAATAAGGCTGCATCCAAAATCGCATATTCTCTTGAGTAGGTAATTGTTTTGAATTACTTCACGACTGCTAAAAAGGTATGTTCTATAGTATGAATGTGTGTAGTATGAATGTAGTCTGGAAGTAATATCATGTTGTCATTATCGTGACCTACCAGCATCAGTTGTGTCGCTTCACTGCCATTCACAAATCCTCACCCGTGGCTTCATGGGATAGTAAAGTGTCCATCATATGCACACTTCAGAATCTTGCCGGAAGAACTAAGTCATCCGGGTACTCTTTGCCTACTCTTTTATGAGTACTGTGAATTCGGACATGCTTCTTTTGTCACATACTGTTTTTCGCCTAATATATTAGTGAAGTATGCAATTTCAGATGCAGCCTTTCAGGCTATTGTGTCATTAGTAACTAAAGTGTTCACAGTACCAAAGCAAATTGAGGAAAAAAAAAATGTAAAAAGTGTTGTAGAAAAATTAGGAACACTGCAGTTCACTTACGCTAAAGTTTTTACTTTTAAATTAGGCTTTTCTCTTTGCATTTGACTGTGAATAGCATTATAAAATCTCTGATTCAAAATCTTTTTCTAGTTCCTATGGGATGTTCTGTAAAGTTGAGTTAGCAACAGTAACCAACGAGGGCTTAAATTTTTCTGAGAATTTTAGTTCATGTAATCAGATAAACATAGCCATTATGTTAAGACAGTGTCTTAAGATCTAGTATGACCCACTAGCAGTTAGTTAAGGGGCAGTCAATCTTTCTATTTGGTATTAAATAAGGGCAATCTATGTTTTTATGTAACTGACTTAAAGTTATGAATTGTCTTAAAGGAGAAAGGAAAAATGTGATGACTAACATTTTATGCAACCAGCCACTTATTTTATTCTAAAAGAATTCCTCCTTGATCCCATTAGAATTGGTTCTGATTTTCTGGCACTTTTTTGACAGTATAACTGTTTTCCATTTTTGCATGGTTTAAATGCAGTCATATGCTATAAAAGCCACAGTAAATCTGAATGGGTATCGAGTAATTCTGCTAACAGTATGAGTCAGCAGAAACTAAACATACTGTAAATCAGCACACAACAGAACTGCAGTCCACTCAATAACAACAGAAAGGGATATAAATGAGATAGACTGTGAAATGGTAAAATCAAACTGTATGAAGTCTGACTGCTTTGTTTGACTGCCTGAAATGAAGACAAAGCCTGATGATTAAATGTTCCCTTCTAGGAGTGGCCATCACAGTCACTATGTGCTCATGAAAGCTTCAAAGTCCGAAAAACACAGAACCCTACCCACCATTGCCTTCAGATCCTGATTTCAAAGCCTTCACGGATTCAAGCAGACATGAAGTGCTTCCACCTTCCGTCTTGGCAATTCTTTCAGGACTGATAAGGTGAAGAGGGGCCTGGTTCTGTCGGCTGTACCTGTGAGAGGGACTGGCAGGAGGATTGTTTGATTCTGCAACTTGCAGAATATCCTGCTCGGCTGGGACAAATTCCACTTGGTTCCTCTTCTTTCCTAAAGTCCACACTTCATCTGATGACAACAGCCTCCTCAAACCTGCCTTATTCAACAAGCTGAAGGAAAACAAACAAGTCTGCACTCACATTTTGTCTCAAATCTAAGGCCTCATCATTTAATAGTTTGCTATAATTTTACAATAGATATTATGAACTAACAATATTGAACAATGAACAATTTTTAATAATTTATTAATCTAGATTAATGTTAATTTATACAACTTTAAATATTAAACATGTATTAGTATATGTAAAAATAAATGTGAACCTAGATTAATAAATGCTAAAAGTTATTGTTCGTTGTTAGTTCATGATACACTGTAAATAAAACAAAGCTTACTGGAGTTGGTTTTCCAAGAAAATACTATTTCTACTTCAAAATGTCATGTTTAATTGTGTGTTACTTGCCATTTCTTTGTATTTAATTGTGAAATTTGCTGAAATTTCTGAGTGAAAATTGTTTCTACACCAATTTTTTTCAATCATTTTTAATTTATTTTTTAAATAACAACTTTAGTGCACGTTTAATAAGTTTTACTCTAATAACTTCTATATACTTCTAACTTCTAAATACTTCTAATTTTAATAACACATTCTTCTTTATCCCATGTGAAAGAAAACATATGTCTTCCAAAATATAATGATATCTAATTTCATATTTTTTTTGCAATTTTGTGCAATTAAATTAAGCATGGTCTGCAGATTTCAAGCATCAATCAGAAGACTTAGTCTCTTTTCATTGTAATTGCTTGGAAAAAGTAAATAATGTACTTAAATAAGTACTACTGCTTTAAGTCCATGTTATATATCTTACACACAACTAATGCCTACTCATGCAAACAGAAGGAAAGTGAAAGAGTGAGAATCAGAAAGAGAGACAAATGCCATCCACCTACCCTGACCTGTTCATGACTGACATACTGACATCACAAAGGGGCTCAGTCGCGAGCAAGCAGCCAGAGGAACAGTAGCCTGTCCTCCTTCAGGTCCCCCGAGAGACGTTTCTGCCACTCCCCAAATATCGTGTCTACTCGTAGTTGCAGTCGAGCCCCGGGCCCCGAGAACAGTCATCCTGCATCTCTAGTCTGCAGCTATGCCCTCTTTTTATTCTCTTTAACTTCCTCCTGCTTGCCTCTCTCTCTCTCTCTCTCTCTCTCTCTCTCTCTCTCTCTCTCTCTCTCTCTCTCTCTCTCTCTCTCTCTCTCTCTCTCTCTCATCCAATAACTCTCTCCACCCATCCAGCCTCCCCCTCCTCAATCTCTCGCTCAGTCTGTCTCCACTCGATCTCTGCGACTTCCTTCCATCTCTCTCTCTTCAAGGGTAATTACTCTGAGTGGTGCATGTAACCAAGACAGACACAGTAAATGCTGTAGATAACAAGCTTATGATATGCACACACTTCTGCCATGTCTCCTCCTCTGCTGTGTCATGCAGGATTTGCTAGACAGTAAGTGGTGCACTGCAGCATTTCCTCTTGAGCTGGTACCCTACATAAATGTGTTGGTATTGCATGCCTCTGCTTACTGTATATGGAACTAAAATCCCACTGCTTCTTTGTGTAGATTTATGATAATAAATGATGGAATAATAGTGATCACACTTGCCTCCCTTCCTCTCTGGGTGCTTTATATGTGCTTCTAGCATCTGGCTTAATCCCAGGCTGCATAACACTCTCTTCCTCCTGCAAAACATCAGCATAAAAATCAGTACCTCTAAATGTAGGATCTGAGCAATATGGGTAAAATGGTTTTGCACTCCTGTTTAATCCATCACATTATTGCTGTAACAGCACTGGGAACTGTTGCATTTGTAGACTTTGTCAAGGTCAACATGAAATCAAAATTGACAATTTCGTTTTTTTACCATGAACATTTAATTGGTGCAAGGAAATAATACTAAAAAAAAAAAAAAAAACATTTCTTTCCATTTGATGTCAGCAATCCCTCCTGTTTTTCCATCCCCTTCCCTCCAACCACCTGTCATATTTAATCCTTACATAGTTCCATTCTGGCCTGGAATGCTCACTTTTTACAATAAATTCAATCCATAATAATAATAATAATAATAATACATTTTATTTGGCCGACGCCTTTCTAAATACCCAAGGACATCTTACATGTTTGTACAAAAGGGAAAACCATTAAAATACATTTAAATTCATAGTAGGCTAATACATGTTACAAATAAGACAAATCAGCAAAATGCTAAGAACGCCAGAAGAAAGCACTATAAAAGAGTGTCAGAAGGGTAACTATGGTAAAGTAGAACTAAAATGCATTAAAGATTAAAAGCTTTCTTAAAGAGATAGGTCTTTAACAATTTTTTAAATGAATTAACTGTGTCTGCCTGTCGAATGTAGGAGGGGAGGGCATTCCAAAGTCTTGGAGCAGCGCAACTGAAGGCCCTGGCCCCCATGGTGGAGAGACGGAATTTGGGAGTGACAAGTAGTCCAGTTGAGGAAGAGCGAAGGGAGCGTGTAGGAACATATCCTGATAGGAGGTCATAAATATAACTGGGTGCAAGGTTATGGAGTGCTTTGTAGGTGATGACAAGGGTTTTAAAATCAATACGGTAGTGCACAGGGAGCCAGTGTAGAGTGATTAGGATAGGTGTGATATGATCAGATGGTCTGAGACCAGTGAGGATTCGAGCGGCAGAATTCTGAATGAGTTGAAGTCTATTTATCAGCTTAGAGGTGAGACCGATGAAAAGGGAGTTGCAATAATCCAGACGAGATGTGACAAGGGCATGAATTAAGATTTCAGTGCTGGCTTGTGTCAATGAGGGTCTAAGCCTGGAAATATTTCGGAGATGAAAGAAGGAGGCCCGGGTAAGTGATTTGATCTGAGATTTAAATGAGAGTGAACTGTCCAGAATGACACCAAGGCTTTTGGTTTGGGTTGACAGAGGGACGATGGTCTCATCTATGGTTAAATTAAGATCTTGCTGTTTTGAGAGGGTAGATTTGGAGCCGATAAGCAGGACTTCTGTCTTATTGGCATTGAGTTTTAAAAAGTTTGTGTTCATCCAAATTTGAATGTCTTGAAGACAGTTGCTGAGTGAGGTGGGTGGAAGGGGAGATGAAGGTTTAGTTGAAATATAAAGCTGGGTGTCGTCAGCATAGCAATGGAAATTAATTTTGTGGTGTCTCATGATCATCCCCAGGGGTAGCAGATATATAATGAAAAGGAGTGGACCCAACACTGACCCCTGGGGGACACCCTGAGGCACAGGCGCACAGGCCGATTTATAGTGTTTGAGTTGTACGAACTGCTGACGATCCGTGAGGTATGAACAGAACCAGGAGAGTGCATCCCCCATGATACCAATGCTGGCCAGACGTTCAATGAGGAGGGGATGAGAGATGGTGTCGAAAGCCGCGCTCAAGTCAAGTAAAATCAGGATGGACAATAGACCAGAGTCAGCAGCACAGAGTAGGTCATTGGTGATTTTTACCAATGCTGTTTCCGTGCTATGTTTAGCACGGAAACCAGACTGGAAATGTTCATACAGATCATTGTAGATGAGATGGTGATGTAGTTGATGTGCCACGACCCGTTCCAGTATCTTGGATACAAAAGGAAGATTGGAGATGGGACGGTAGCTGTTGAAGTCATCAGGATCCGCATTAGGCTTTTTGAGAACCGGAGTGACAGCAGCAGTCTCAAGGGTGGACGGTACAATGCCTGTGGAGAGGGAGGAATTTACTAATGTAGTGAGTAATGGTGAGATGGAAGGCAGGCATGCTTTAAGAAGACTGGTAGGGATAGGGTCTAATTGTGAAGTAGATGTTTGAGATTTGCTGACAAGTTCATTGATCTGGTTCTCTGAGGTCAAGGTGAAGTTTGAGAGAGAGATGGTTGAAGCAGAGCCCTGCAGGGCAGTTATGTAGGTCAGGCTATGAGCTGGAGTGCTAGGAATATTAAGCAAATGGTGATGTATTCCTTGAATTTTTGCAAGAAAGAAGTTTAAAAACTTGTTGCAGAGGTCCGTTGAGGGGTCAGAGAATACATTTTCAGGTGGTTTAAGGAGCCGGTTTACCGTCTGATCATTGAAATATTTCTGAATATCCTGTAAGCTCTACATCTGTCCATCTTCAACAGTCATGTCATCTAGTCAAAACCTACATTTCCCAGCATCCCTCCTGTTCATCACTCGGCCATCACCCACACCTGTTTACCACCAGATCTCCAATGTGCAATAGGATAAGAGCACACACCTCACAGGTACTCTTTGGCTGTGTACGAAAAAAAAAACCTATACTATACCTGCACTATTTGAGGGGATAGCCATTTGTAGTCTTGTTGATCTAATCTCTGTCTCTAAGTCTGGAATTCTGTTACACCTGCTGCGTTTGTAAATCCCTCAAATTTCAAATGTAAATGGCTTGCGAATGCTGTTTCACTGACTTTATTAACCACAGTATCACTGAAGAAAAAGAGTAGATTTCTGATTCGTTGAATACCATAGTATTGGCAGTGTTCTCCCTCTTGGTGTTTCTGTATTTCTTTGGCAGTGTCTGCATTTGCAGCAATTGTCTGAAGTGAAAAGCTGACTGCTTGATTTCAAGAATGTCTCTCTGATGGTGGAGAAGCGACCGTCTCTGCTGCTGGCCTGATCTGCATATGTTTCTCCAGTGGTCAGGTCAGGTCTGCTACTGGTACCATGTAACCCAGTACTATCTGTTTCATGGTCGAGCTTTCCGGCGACTAATCCGGAACCCCCATTGCCCTGTATAGGGAATGAGGAGGGTGGGTGTACACCCTGGCAAGATTAAAAGCAAGACTTGCTTTCAAGGGCGGATGAACTCTTCGGAGTCAACGGCCTTACACCAAAATGGAGCTGGGATCCCATCAAGGCAATTGTACTGAGCACCGCTTTCTACTTTTGGCATTCCCTGCCCCCGGACACTCTCGCAGACGCACTGGCTGTGCCTTTTCTCTGTTTACGTGAGCTCTGGGCGAGAGAAGCCCCTGACAATTGATAGGACCACTCAGGGTAGCTTTAAAGTCCTGGCAGCAAATTCACAGTGACCAACTTGAATCGTCGACACGCGCAGAGGAAACCTGCACCTGTAACTCACTCTTACAGAAAACAATACCCAGAACGAGGTAGTTACCGGTTTTAAGTCTGAATGATGGTGAGAACACTCAGGCACCAGGGACCTTGTTCAAGAGTGGGAGGGGTTCCCAAACCTCATGGAAGCTACGGCCCGCTGAAGCTGGGCAGCCCCCGGCCAATAAGGTGCTCCACTCACCAACGAACTATCAGACGAGGTGGTATGATTAGTTTGAAACAATCACCTCAAACAACAAAACTCCTATGTTCTACCTGGAATGTCCGAATGATGATGATGACCGGAATACCTACTGACAACGACCCTGACCCTGAGACAACATGCACTAGGAAAACAGCTGTCATTGACACTGAACTTTCCAGGAGCAACGTGCACATTGCTGCCCTGCAGGAAACCCAACTCGCGGGTGCAGGTAATATCAAGGAATTTCACTTTCTTCTGGTTTGGAAAGCCTGCTGATGAACCACGTCTCTATGGCACAGGTTTTGCTGTCAACAATACCATAGTTAACAGCATACAGACACCAGTTGCTGTTAGTGACAGAATTTCAGTCATGAAGCTCAATACACGACAAATCAAAATAATCTCTGCTTATGCTTCGACGCTGGCTGCTGACCCTACTGTCAAGGATCACTTCTATTACGACTTTGAGAGTGCTTTGGACCCCTCGTCCGACTCTGAACGTGTTGTGCTCTTAGGAGACTTGAATGCTCGAGTTGGAGACGACCATCAAGCCTGGCCTGACTGTATCGGGAAGTTTGGTGTTGGTCGTATGGAAAATGGTCAACGTTTATTTTAAGCTCTGCTGTAGAAATAATCTGTGTATCACAAATACCATCTTTCCAGCGAAGAGACATCGTAAAATGACATGGTATCACCCAAGATCCAAGTCATGGCATCAGCTGGACTTTATCATAGTAAAACAGAAGCAGAGGAGGGAGGTGCTCAACACACGCACCTATCACAGCGCAGACTGTGACACAGACCACAGTCTAGTTGTGCCTACAATGCAGCTGCAGCCAAGGCCCTACTATTGCCAGGTTAAGCATTCGAAGAAACTTGACGTAACAAAAACACGCA